TCTGAAAGTAGCAAGGAGAACCACCCATGTGAGGCTTAATGTTTTTATATACCAAGGATACAGCCACAATACATCCATGGATTGTCGGACCACCTTTTGTGTTAACTCAGTAAGCCACAGGTGTTTCCCAGTGTCACCTTCAGTCATTTGCTTGTTTTGTATATGCGATACTGAGTAGATATGTGATGTGCCCCAAAGACAGTTGTGTTTACAGGCTATACCTGTAGTAAATGGGCTATTTTGTTATATCAGTAAGATATTTAAATTTACCCTTAAAGAGAGTTACTGTACTGTAAGAATATTGGGTTTATGAGTTACAGTGATGCAAGATTTTTAATCTCTAAACCTTTACCATTTTCTTCTAGGTCTTGCAAGGCAAAGTTCATTTACTAATGGCACATATTGTGAAATAATGTGTCACTGAGTTTGGATTATTCCTGCCAACTATACTGAACTATATGTGTATTAAGTTTGACTTTGACTGTAATATTAACCCTGTCAGTAATTGCCAAGTGCAAGTGAGGGTTGATCTAATTAAAAATGTATTATTATTTGATTGCAAATAGTGTTCTCAATTAAATTGTCTGGTCTAATAAATATTTTTACCAGGACTATTGGCAAATATTGTTCCCAGTATTGTTCTTTATGTTCAGTAGTGTACTAAACATTTGACTATGGAATAACAAATTTATAAACTTTTTTATCCAGTGTGTATTATTTTAGTCTTTTTGAATTGATCACATGTGAACATTTCCTGCACATGCAAACAACACATTCATATGGGTTTTCTTCTCTGTGTGTTCTTTTATGTGTTAACCCATTGAACCGCAATGCGCCCCAGTGCGCCACATCTATTTTTTTACTTGTCTAACGCCAGACAATTTTACTCATCAATGGGGAAGCTCTGCCACTTAATGGGTTAAGCACCCTGGTTGTGGAAGTATGAACATCAATGGATACAAAGACATGGTGTATATCATAGAATTTATTAATATACAAATCAAAGTATTTTGCTAATGCGGGAAGTTCAAATAATATATACATACCAGTAAAATGCCTGTCACATGCTGATACACAGGCAGTCCTAATGGGTTACATACAGTCACTAAAAACACTTTTGACTGCATGTAGCAAAAGAGAAATTTATCACCTTACTCCTTAGTATGTCATCCATATTACTGGTAGTGTGTGTGAGATACTGTATGCTAAATAAGGCCGAGAAAGTTAAAACTATAACATGCTAGTGAATATAGAATACTTCAGGTTACCTTTATTAACATGTACAGTAAATAAATAAAAAATATTTATAACTGTTTCAACTGTTAGCACAGACATGATACTGTAATTCCTTTCAATGTGTGGAAGCTTTCAAAAATTCAATATAGTCGCTTACAAATTATCCATCCTTGTATATTGATTAAGGCAACACTAGTACACTGCGAAATAGTTTGTAAATTAAGAGATTAGACAAGCCTCCTGACACTAAGCGGTAGGTTTCGTTTTAGCTGTTATCGTCCCTACTAGGCCAAGGATTTTTATTTTACGTCGCCTGAGCAAAATCCATTTGATATCACTTAATTAAATCTTATACAAGAAGTATTTTAAAATGTCAACAGAAAGAAATTGACCAGTTTGCCTTTGCCAATCTGTTAATTCGAACGTGATTTTCACATTGAAGGTTTGTTTCGCACATTGACCAGTCCCCATCGATTGTTTCCACAATAATCCGCAACAGTTTTCTAGTTCACAGATGAAAAATTCGCCCTAACAGATTTTGCAATTCACTCCTAATCGCCGCCATCTTGAATTTTTTCTATGCTCATGGGCAAGACCGCTGAACTTCATTGATCGGCAGTTTGGGCGATTTTGCAACATTTTATGCCAAGTGTGCCAGTCATAGTTCTCTGGAAAAACCCCTCACTTGAGATCTCTCACTTTTACCTTTACTATGTTTCCAGCCTTTACTACAGAGGCATCAGTTTTCTATGGTGGCCCAGCAGCACCATAGCATTTTCCTATATTTTTATTTAATTAATTTTGATTTTAAATACATTTTTAAATAAAATTACAATACACACTAGCAAAGTAAAAACATATTAAGATTAAATTTAAAATAAAAAAGAAACAAAATAAAAACAAATTAAAATTAAAACTGAATAAAAATAAAATGAAAATTCCACATGGCCCATAAGCGCCATAGCATTTTCCTATATTTTTATTTAATTAATTTTGATTTTAAATACATTTTTTTAATAAAAATACAATACACACTAGCAAAGTAAAAACATATTAAGATTAAATTTAAAATAAAAAAAACAACAAAATAAAAACAAAGTAAAATCAAAACTGAATAAAAATAAAATGAAAATTCCACATGGCCCATGAGCGCCATAGACCAAAATGCCTTGCGGGCGGTGGACAGCAGCCTTTGCCCAATCACGTTCCCCATATGTGCCCATTCCCTTAACCTGCAAGCGGGCATCGAGCGAGATGCCCTTTGAGTTTGCCCTTTCCTCTTTAAACTGTCAAAACATGGCTGACAAACAAAACACGTGGAGAAAATTTCAAGAGAAAATGAAGGACAAACGCTGCGCGAAGAAAGCAACAAAGACAACGAAAGGCAAAGGTCAAGAAGGCGAGAAGGAGGAGTTGATAGTTCAACGATTAAGCGCTGAAGTTCATGGCAAAGCCCAAAAATATAGTCGAGTTGGCCCGCGCAAATTTGTCGAATTTAGCGATATGGAGATGACGGTGGAAAACATTAAAAGAGCATGTACGGCGTACTACAGGAAAAGTGTGGGACCAGGGATGGTGTGTGATATATTGGCCGGTGATCAAGGCCCTTCATGTAAAACCATCAAACAAATACCGAACTTGAAACTCATACATGTTCGTTTCATACCTGAGATTGATGGCGACCTCGAGGGCCTCGAGGCGATCGAGGAAATTAAAGCTGAAGCCAGTCAAAGTTGTCCTGAAACGAGTAATCAGAGTGTGAATGACTTTGGCCAGAGTGTGAAGGTTCCCAGAAGCTTTGCCTTTGGTTCGCCACCGAGGATGAATAAAAAACCCAAGCTCGTGCCTAAAAGTTTGTCGGTATCAACCATACTACAATTGGGTAAATTGGTGCAAACAAAAACAACATTAATAAAGTTGTATTCATTTAATTTTGAGTCTTTGATATGGTCAGCTATTCCAGTGCCAGTCGAATTTGAAATATGCAGTGATGTTCTTGGTGAGGGTGGTTTCAGGAAGGCATACAAGGCAAAAGCAAGTACCAAAGATTTTTGTGATAAAACATGGGTTGTAAAGAGATACAAACCTGAGGCAGTTGCAGAAATTGAAAAAATCAACCAAACGGTAGAAAGTCAACTAAGAAAGGTCAGTTATTTGATTAAATCGAATGCCCTCCCCCCCTAAGAAAATGTACCCTACTTTACTGTCTATTAATGTTATACAATTTTACTCTTCAAGGGAAACCTGGTGCATTGGGAATACCTATTAAGTGTGAAAAGTTTAATATAGAAGTTTGTTTTTATTTTAGATCTTAGAATTTATTTTTAGCAATTGAAGTAGTTTTACCATAAATCCCCAATTTGCACCCCCTCCCCCAATAAACCCCCCCTCATCGCTGTCAAGCTCCCTTCACAACAAAAAAATGTGTGTACTACTTAGAATTCCAATTTCACATTAGCTTACTGTTTCTTACTGTACTTGCTTCATTAAAGTCCCCCCCCTATTGAATCTTCTCTCAAATTATAAGCACCCTCAAAGATGCTTGAAATAAACTAAGCCATGATGTAGGTTTTACTTTATTATTTTAAATCATCAAGATATATCATTTACCTAATTACCTTGTAGGTTGTACAAATGCATCACTTGGCCAAAAATTTTGCTGAAAACATTTCAAAAAAAGTTACAGAAGATAACCTTTCAGAAGCATTTGGTCATACTCTTAAATACCGCAGTATTTACTTAGGAGAAATGCCTGATGGAGAGTATGTTATTGTTGAAGAATTTGTGGATGGCACATTCACAAAATATATTAATAACGATGGTGGAATTTGTGAAAGCCAAGAGGATGAATTGGTACAGAAGGCTGAATGCTTAACACATTTTTCGTACATTCAGTCAAAGAAGCAAGTTATGGTAGTTGACATTCAAGGAGTGGGATTTAACTTGTTCGACCCGGAAATTGCTTCTGCAGTTTTAGTATCAGAAAGTGAGGTGATGTTTGCAGCTGGTAATTTATCTGAGGTTGCTATAGACAATTTTATAAGTATCCATACATGCAATAGGTATTGCAGATATTTAAATTTAGAATCCATTTAGAGCAAGTTTTTATAACATTGAAGACATTAACATTGAAGTTACTAGTAAAGATAACTACATCAGTGCATGTATTATTTATAATATTACTACATAAATTACTGTTGGTTTATCCTGTTTATGTTCTAAAATCAAAGACACTTTCAAATGATTTGTTAATATAAGTTATCAAACTGATAGCTGGTTTGAAATTGATATTTTATGAAAATAAATCTGTACAAATTTCTGGTGAACAGATTTTATGATGTTTGTGATAAAAACTACTGTCTGTATTGTATGAAATTATTTTGCATTATAGTTCATTGAGACCCATTTCTCCTATGGACCGGCAAAAGGGAGTTATATCCCCTAAACTTTGTATGTTAATAGATACTAAATGGTATGTATATACAATTTGTTATTATTAACACAGTGGGGGGGGGGGGGCAGATCTCCCCCAACAAGAAACAAAACCTTAACTCACTGTGCAACATCATTTTGCTTGCCAGTGATCATCTGTGGTGTACAGTATTTCAAAAAGTGATAAATAAAACCACAGGAAGCCCAGGCTTTGTTTATGCCTACATGACATTGTCTGCCCAAGATTTTGGCAGCCTCTAGCAAAGGTTAGGGTGTACAATGTCATAAACAGAGCTGGGGCTCTTCTTGTGATAAAAACAACATAAAAGTGATCAGCTATTTAAAAAATTGTCTTTGAGGTAAACATAGGCATCTGCACATTGGTCAGGTTCTACATCACCAGGAAAAGGAATAATTCTTTCACATTTCTCCCGAGATTCACTTTGTATAAAATCATCATCTAGCTCTAAAACTCCTGACAACTCAGCTACATCTTTCAACTGGTCTTCTGTTACAGGCCACCCTAAAAAAAGCGTTAGAATGTAAGATGCACATTGTGGCAAAACAGAGTTTCCCCATTGACAAGTAAAATCGTATGGCGTTAGACAAGTAAAAAAAAAGTAGACCACATTGCAGCTGAATGGGTTAAACATACATATCTACTCCTTACCACATTTCTCTAAGCCATATTCTTCTGGAAAGTCGTACATATGATTCGGAACCCCATTGGGAAGAAGTGTTTCTTTTTGGGTACGGATTCTGTGACAATTCCACACTGTATCTTTAAATGAATCAAGCTGTTTCTGCAGTACTGGAATCATTAAGAATGCGATAAGCATTCTGAAATAAAAATGACACATAGATAAATCTTGAATTAATCAAATATTTTTTTGCAAAGGATTTAAGCTCTGGAAAATTAAGATTTTGATCACTTTAGTTCTTGGGGGCATTAAGTCCACTCCTTGTGCATGACGGAAGACATGACAGAACATGCCACTTGACTATTTCTGACCACCTAGTAAGTAAGGAATGGTTGCACTCTGGTTATGATTTAGAAGCATTCAATCCAAATCCAACACAATAGCTTTGAAAGGCAAGACCCATATTAATGTCAATTACTTCTTGTGAAACAATACAGCGAACAATATAAATGGGTTAACAGAAAGACAGGTAGATAGTTTGACAAACCCCTGTTAATACTAATGACTCTATATTTATAGACAAAATAACAGGAGGACATTTCTTGATATGTTAAAAAGGTTTAATTAAATAGTTTAAAATGTTTTAAATCAATTCAGTGTTGGGAAAAATATTGAAACCAAAACTAGGCAGTTGTGTTTGGTTGTAAACAGTGTGTACTTATTAATTTTTTATCTTCTGTTACTTCCGTAAAATAATTTATCTTCTGTTACTTCCGTAAAATAATTGTAGACTAACCTGTCTTGATCACTATGTGGATCATAATGCCCTCGATCTTTTAACCAGTTAATTTGATGTTTAAAAAACTTTTCAAGACGCTCGTGGAGCTCCCTCCACCATCGTTCAATCTGTTGATATATGAGAAAGAATTAGTATTCACTTGTTATGTTGAGCACACTTTGACGAACTGAGATGTAAATGGTTTCCACAAGCAATAATGCTTCCATTATGATCATGCATTTGAGCAATCTGATTCGGCGACACATCATGCATCCTCCATCTCTGGATGCATACATGTCCAAGTATTTACAAACAAGTGTGTTGTTGTTGGAAGGGCTTTGGGGGCTGTTTAATATTATAAAGGGAGAGCCAGTAGTTGCATTCGATTAATTTTAAAAAAATGGACTACTTCTGACAGCTAGGTAATAAATGGGATTTATTGAAACGACCAATAAAAGTCTTAAGACAGAAATGTTTCAGTAAATTCCACTTATGATCTAGCTTTGATCTCTCTTTATAAACTACTTATTCCTATCTTAAACTAATGTTTGAACTGTGAATTGCCTTAGTGATCCTGTCAGCATGCATATCTCTGTTGGCCCAGGAGTCAACTTTGGGCCATTCCATTTAATGTACACCTCCCCCCCCCCCCCCATAGACGAGAATTTATGAGGGCGTTTGAAAAAGCCATTTTTTGAGGGGTAGTATGCATCAGCATCCTTTGATCTTTGCATTTTTTCTTAGGGGTAAGGCAAAAATTTCTTAATTTCTGGGGGGGGGTGTTGGCACTTTGATTTTTTTTTTAGGGGGTTCAAATTTTATCGACTTCGTCCATTGGGGTACATTAAATAGAATGGCCCCCTTTATATATGGTTAGTTGGTTCTACCATGTTATTAACTCTATTAACGTATTGGGGTAATACCTGATTAGAAGTAGATGGGCCGTATAACACTGTGTCTTCAGCATTCATATCTCCATGGCTTTGCCGTAAGTAAGAGTGCATTGTCGCCATCACGCCAGTTTCAGTACCCTTGTCAACTCTGATCATCGAAGCAATCTGACGAGTTTCATGTAGATGCTCCAAATACCATGAACCAATCCGTTTTGGGCAGGAATTTGACGTCCAAATTTTTAACCAAAGTATTTTCCTGCTGGCTGTGTCAATAGAGCCATATATTGCCAAAGGAAAAGTACTATTTTGATAGCCCATCATTTTGTCATGGCCATCCATTGAATGAACCCAATCTGTCCCCTTCGTAATAAAATGTCCTTTTTCTCTTCTTTGCCTTTTCATTGGCTGCCGTGATTCAAGTCCTTCGGGATCGAGATCGTACATGACTGCGTGAACCAAATTACGCGGAGCATTAAGATTATGACCCTGCCTTATTTTATGGTACATTGCCCTATAGCCAACCAGTTGACCAGGCCCTTCCAACTCTTTTGAAACGGCAGCCCGTACGTCCTCGACAGACACAGTGCAATCTGTTTGATATATATCAAAATACTGTAGTCTTCGGTCTAACGTCCTCTTGCTCCATGCGTATTCAGAAAAATCTCGTTCAACGAAACTTAAAATTTCGCTTCGCTTTAATCCCTGCTTTACATACTTCTGAAGTTCTTCCTTCAATCTCGTATCATCAGTCCACGTTGAATTTCTTGTTCGACCTGTCGCCATGTTGGACAAAACAATCATGCTGATATGCACCCCCCCCCCTGACATAGCCTACAAGCAGGCACAATGTCAGCATGAATTTTGAAAGATAGTGAAAACTCAAAAGGCTTTTAATTCTGGTCTATGGCGCTCATGGGCCATGTGGAATTTTCATTTTATTTTTATTCAGTTTTAGTTTTAATTTGTTTTTATTTTGTTTCTTTTTTATTTTAAATTTAATCTTAATATGTTTTTACTTTGCTAGTGTGTATTGTAATTTTATTTAAAAATGTATTTAAAATCAAAATTAATTAAATAAAAATATAGGAAAATGCTATGGCGCTGCTGGGCCACCATACACATGTCAATAACCGGTACTTTGAATAGCCAAATTCACGGTTCTAGTTATACCTAGCCAACAGACAATGCCTGTGGTTGTTCTATGCTTTGGAACCAAATACAAGGCGAGCATACGCTCATATTTCGCACTGACATTAAAGAATTAAGTTCTTTCAATCAGCAACTCTTGGGGTATTTAAAACCATTTTACAGTAACACCATATCCATCGTCCAAACATTAAAACATCACGGATAAGTTTTGCCAATTTCAACAACTACAGTAGATTTTACAAACTTTTTTACGACATATATATAGGAAGAAATTATGTCCGTAACACCTCATTTTTTGAACCTACCCGGCCTTATACAAATAATGAAGCCGCGTTCATTATATCTAGCTGTGTTTTTCCATTTTTGCCCGTGATAACACGGCCAACATGGCCCTCTAGCTAAGACCCTGTATAAAATGAAATTACATCTTAATCAATCTTTGCATGCTTAAGAACGTTACACAATCACATCAATCTGGGAAAAGGGAGTACAGTATAAGTGCATGAAGATTTTAGTAATTTGATAGTCATCAATGATGTAGCAGTCTCTTGGTTTACTGTCCCTAATTGCATGTTACGAGGATCTGTTAAGGCCCGTTTACACGGTACGATTAGTTGTATACGATTCCTACTCTGGCGTAATGTGATCGAATAAACATGCGTACAAACGTCACATTTCAAATTTCGCCATCAGCGAATGAGCAATATAAACGTGGCATTCGCACTCGTTTTCATTCGTCAGAATGACAGTCGTATACAACTAATTGTATCGTGTAAATGGGCCTTTATGCCAGCTTCATTCTTACGCACGACCTTTTGTTCTGCCCTTATAACTGTTATCCAAAAAGCAAATGTTCATAACGTATATGAACTTTACAACTGATAATCGTGCTTGTCAATACACAGGCATTCCTTTGGAGAGAAAATTTACCCCAAATTTTCGACTATCAATTAACTCATTAACGCCCAATGCGCCCATATGCGCCCTGAGATTGACAAGTGGGTAACGGACAATGCGCCCGAATGCGCCCTGGCATGACACCTTAACTTGCGGGCATGATATTTGAGCACGTGTTTATCGGGTTGCCTAGCAACGGATACGAAAATAGAACGTGAAATTCGAGCTTTTCAACGGTGTATCATGCAAGAAAATCGGTCAGAAACTTGCAAAGTTTTTCAAGTTTAAAATCTTAGTTTTCCAAAAATAATGAATAATGGCGATTCTGTTACAAAGAAAGATTTTACAGCAAGTTTTAAAAGCAAGAAAAGAAGAGGTTTCTGAATCAACTACAATGAAAATTTGGCATGAAAGGAAAGCGAATGTATTGACGTTTTGGGGCCAAGTTTTTCTGTGAACCATGCGCGAGATTTTCAGCCAAAAAGATGAGGATTTCTCCAAACTTTATTAAAAATAGAAGTCAGAAATCACAAGAAAGATGAACACGGAACACAAGTGAGCAGATACGATTTTTTAAAGGGTATTTTTGAGTAGAAATATGCGATCAAATACTCACAAAATTCGACTGCATTAATGTTGGTTGAATCTAGTTTAAAGTTATCTTTTTAGACGAACTGTTTATGCAAATTTGGGCACAATTTCGACTGTTTTCGTAACCCCATTGTTGGTCTTCTTGTTCAAGTTGTTATTTTAGCTAAAGTATGTTTCAAACGACACCAGATTAAATTACTGTGTGTGTACGTGCCCTATTTGGCAAGAATACTTCGAGTATTAAATTACACTAAGTAAGTAGGGTACTCCAAAATCACTGTTATATCTATTTTCATCAATTTAGTCTTAAAATGACAACTCGTTTCAGACATATTGTGGTTTGAAATAAGTGTATTGAATTAATGCGCTTGCTTGCCGCGTGTGAATTCTCAAAAAGTCCGCACTTGAGTTCTAATGCTTTTAAAATGCTTTTTGTATTGGGTTTTATATCCCCATAAAACTTTAAATCGATAAGGCAGATAGTAATGTTGATCCAACCTCATTTTCTAGTAACTACATGTTGAATCAGAAGGAAAAGTTATCAAAATTTGGTCGCGACGGTTTGCCGTTGTTGTCGCTTCTCTCTGAAATGGCTTCCTTTGCGGGAAGCCATGAAACTGAAGTCCCACCAAAAACATCATTTAGCCGTCCTTTCGGGCCCATTGCTCACTTATTTATCATGAAATCGTTTCACTAGAACATTTTTAATAATGTCTATGGGAAACTTTGTAATTTTCTGAACTAAAAGTTTATGGTTTTGAGGTGTTTATTTTATAAAATAGCACGCGCGACAAAATGGCACTAATGTGGTCTCTCATGTCTGACAAACAACCAAAGATGAAAGTCCTTATTTCACCCTTTTATAGCTATGTTGAATACCTGACTATTAGGTTATCTTTTTCATTTGAGCATACAGATAACATTTCTACACAATTAGTCCTAATGAAAGCTTATTTCAAACTAAAAAAAAGTGATTGTTTTTCAGAGCCAGACTTCAAAAGAGAACGCGTGTCTGACATTTTATAGCAGCCTACATTGGCGCGCAAAATAATTTTGGCTAAAAACCGTTTCTTTCCAAACAGAAACATGAGAAAATTGAGCTAAAAGGCTTACCTGATGTATGTTTAAAATGTTTTTCTCTTTATGGTGTTTTTCAGTGCTTTGAGTAGAGAAGTGAATAACTTTTGGTTTTGTCACCGCAATTTGCCTTTGAAAATGTCGGCTGTCATTGTCTGTGTTAAAAACACCTCAGAAAATTTCTATTTTCTCACCTTCCCATCCTTGGTTTATATTGAAAACAAATAGATTCTAGTACCGTATGTCCTTTTAAATATATTTGAGGTAATTAAAAACTCCAAAGATGTACAAGCACTGTGTTTTGGCTTGCACACTTTGTTCAATTTTAACACTTAGTTACTGTTCTAAATTTCATGTTGTAAACATCTTGCCCAAAAAAGCAAAGGAGTATTTTTTATAATTTTTGATCATTTTCTAATTCATATCCCAATAGATGAAAACTGGTTATAATATAGATATGTACTAATTTAGTAAATAATTTTTTTTTTGTTTTTTATATAAAAATAGTGTCACTGGTTTACAAATAAAAATTCTCATTGAAAAAACTAATGATATATATATAGGTATGCAAGTTCATTTAAACTAAATTTGGTCAATCATATATTAATAATATTTGGTTGAAAAGACCAGATTTTTTCATGCAACTGTTTCTGAGATATTGCCATTTTGGTGAAAGCTCTTGAATTCAGTCACGTATTCGCCATATTGCTTGCACGTTAGGGGGGTAGAAACATTGTAACAGCTTGGGCGTTAATGAGTTAACTAATTGCTCCCAGTGTTATTACCAATATTAAGACTGGATTTGAAATGTGGGTCATGTACAGTGCATGTAAATAATGGACAGTGTGCTACCGAAGTCAATATGAGTTGCTCACATACTGTAATTCTGTAAATATTATGTGAGTCCAGTGCTTGCCCCACTTGCAGTATTTTCAGAAAGAAATACTGTAAACCCAACCTTGTTCGCACATCTGTCAGCTCACATGCTCACGCTTTTGACAACTTTAAATAAGATGCATAGTCCTTTTTTTCTGTGTTGGTGTTGTGTACTCAGGTGAATAATATGTTTGTGATGTCTGAGTGTATATCCACACCGGGCGAGCTTGAAAAATATGCCCAGCCACGGTGGGAATCGAACCAAAGGTCGTAGGTTCGATTCCCACCGTGGCCGGGCATATTTTTCAAACTCGCCCGGTGTGGATATACACTCAGAGTAACATCACAAACATAAGTCTTGCCTATACATAATATTGCATGCATAACATGCATTAAATACATACAGTAAAGGTACAGTTACCTGTTTGTTTACTTCATCCTTGCCATTTGTTTTCTCTGCATTTGGCTCCTGCACTTTTCTTTTGAGATCTTTCCTTTCAGTAACACCCTTAAATAAAGTTAAGTTAATCAATTTAGTTGGAACACGTTCCCCTTGTTTAAACTAAAATCTGGCAGCGGTGCTTAGGCAATTTAGTGCTAGACAGAGTAAAATCAATCTCGTACCCAGAGCAATACCTGTGCGCGGGCGACGAAGGCATTGGCTCAGGGGAAATCGACAACCTGAACCCCTAAATTTAGGAGTTCCGGTTGTTGACGGCATGCAATTTATTGATAAACGTTAAACCAATCAAAGCACAGAAAAATTCTATTTCGCCATAGCCAATGCCTCCCTCGCCCACTCATTGCTCTTGGTACAAGAATGGAGTAAAATTGGAAAGAAGGGGAAAAGAAGAAGAGAAAATTATTAAAAAGGATTAGAAATAGTAATTTGTAGTGTTGTTGTTCAAGAAGAATAAATTTATATTATTGGTTTATTGTCGTTGCAAAGTTTATAAGACTAAGATTAAGAAGAAGGATATTACAAATACCAGAAAGCCTCCTTGGCCAGCGCGTGTCGCTGTGTCTGGTCAAGGAGGGCAACGAGCGTAAAGACGAAGATGCAAACATACATTTTTGTTCGTTCTCGCCGGCGAACATAACAGTGTTTATAAAAGATTCGTAAACGAAAGAAAAATACTCTATCTGTGGAAGACATAAATTTGTTAGTATCCCCAAGAGTTGATGCTTGCGATGTTACCCTGAGTGAATATTATCCGCACCTGGCAAGCTTGAAAAATATGCCTGGCCATGGTGGGAATCGAACCTACGAACTTTGGTCCTGGCCAGGCATATTTTCAAGCTTGCCCGGTGTGGATATACACTCAGAGTAACATCACAAGCATCATAATCACCTGAATCAGAGACAGAGTACACTACGCCAATATAGAAAATTATCATGGTATTCGGTTTTACATCAGTTAGCATTAGCTACAGATTGAAGTTTCAGGTATTCAACATATCAATCGATTGATAGACTCCTAGACTAATTTAAAGTGCATGGTATAAATGCCATTTAAGGTTTTGATAAATTAAATATTTAAAAAATCAAACTAAATTTTCTTACCTGACCTGAAAATAGTAAAAGAACTTTGCTGAAGCCAGGTCAGTGATAGAAGGAATGTGTCACAATTGCTGGTTGGCATCCTATTCTTTACACAGCAAATTTCTGGAATTTTCTATTTCTTGTATACCCCAGGCAGTGTCTGCTTCAATTCCCTATGAATATATTGAAATTTAACTTAATTTAACATAATATTTTGACAAGTCAGAAAAGTGGTGTAGTCAATTTATAGCTACAAGTCATTGCACAAGGCAAATGGTTAGTTTATCTCATTTGTCAAATATTGATGGATTGACATACTAATTTTTCATTGACATACTAATTTTTCAGAATTATTTAAAATGTTGATAATACCACAAGATATGCAGTGGCAGTTGTTTCAAGTTAATCAAGTATAATGTTTGAACTATAACAACTAGTATAAAATGGTCTATGTGTCATGATCATGATTTAATACTACAGCCATCAGTGAACCATCATTATTAATTATTATGATTTTTATTGGCATTTATTTGTATCAAATAGAATATAACATCTTTTTCCATGCTAGTGCCTCATTTATTTTTATAACTTGCTATGGACCGTTGGGGTTTCCAAATTTTATTAATGGTCTTAAACTTAATTCAGATCATATCATATATAATAATTGTCGAATAAGCAAACTAAACAACAAGGCTTAATAAGCAATGAAAATTTGATAAATAGAGGTCAGTTTCTGATTAATTTAACAAGGGGAAGAGGGCTTATCTGGTTAGGTAAGCCTTGAGTCAGAATATTAAGGGGGCCAAACCCCAACAAGGAGCCTCTGGCCCCCTCCCCCACCTGCCAACTGGCTTTGCCTTTTGCTTTGACAGCTTTATAAATACCCAAGCTTAATAGATAGATCCAATATTTCAATTTAAATCACATTCAATTCTTAAACTAACTTGTGGTTCAAATCAAGAATCGTAAAGCTTGATACTAGTAAGAAAATAGTAAATTAAACAACAAAATAAGTCAAAATAGTGGGCAAATAGGCCTACAAGAAAGGCATACAAAGTAAAAACAATAAAAAGGAAACTCTGGCCTTGTTTCTTGTAGTTATGCTAGCTTGGCAACTTGAGCAATAAGCGAAATATATATGCTATCCTGAATATTATAGTTAAAGTTAATTTAAAATATATCTAGACATACGAGGACAACGTTAAATAATTGCAAATCAGAACTGTCAAATGAATATCTGTGGTCAAAATTCGGGAAAACATAAAAGTCAAAAGCTCGGTAAAAGCTCAAGAGGGATCTGAAAAACATTCTAAAATAAAATATAACCAACTAGATATGAAGTAAAATCTACTAACCTTGTTTTGAGTGTCCAAATTCAACTTTCGTTGTTGATCCAGCTGTGAAATAAAGTCTTTTTGGTGGAGAAATAAAAAGCCATTTTGTTGTTTCGTCGGATATTTTGCTCAAATCAAACGTCGTATTTCCTTTCATTTTAAGCTTTAATCGTTGTATATCTTTCAGAAAAGGCAGCATATACTCCACATTTTCCCTTAGGTGCTCTATTTTGTCCCATCGGCACTAAAATAATATGTTTTGGTGCATTTTTCTGAGTGACAAAAGCTTGCAGTTTGTTGTCAAAAAAATATTTTTGTTCTGACTTTTCGCGGCTTCGAAGATAAATATGGCTACGTGATTGGTCAATTTTCCCGCCAAAGAACATCTAGCCTGCAGTTGCGGGCGGAAGACGATTAGGGTGATGAGAGGTTGGGTGATCAGTAATATGGTAGTGACTGATGGTACTATATTCACTTGTTTGTAGCTTTGTGCAACTATCTTCACATTTTCTTTCTTGCTTCGATAACTATATAGCAATTGCCATATTATTAAATAGCAAAAAAAAATCTACGGCTTTTTGCCGTCTTGAACGTCCACGCATTATTTGCCCTAATTTAGCTTAATATTCCTAGTATCAAGCAAGTATGCTTGAAAACAATTAAGTTTTGACTATTTCAGCAAAACTGCCCAGTCGGTTGAAATCAACTCTTAATCATTGAATAAATGTTTTTAAGATTGTTTATTTCACTGTTTCAGCATCTTGATATATGAAGTCAAGTTCCACCTGTGACACGCTGGGGTATCAGATATAGTTTCATACTGCGTTTACAAAGTATCTGATAGTGGAAAAAGATGAAAAAAAACTAGCATATTGAATTAAAGACAAGTGGACGTCAATTTTAACGACAAGCTTTCGAAAACACAATGTATATGCGATAAATTTGCGCTGTATGCGAATTTGGGGCAAATTTAGTATCAAATTTGCTATATGTATACTTCAATATGCCAAGGTGCATGTATGCCAATTTAGATCGTGATATAAAACACAACACGAGTACATACGAGTAACATACGAGTAACACACAAGTACATACGAGTAACACACGAGTACATACGAGTAACATACGAGTACATACGAGTAACATACGAGTACATACGAGTAACACACGAGTACATACGAGTAAAACAGAAGTACATACGAGTACATACGAGTATTATACGAGTACATACGAGTATTATACGAGTACATACGAGTAGAATACGAGTAAAATACGAGTAGTAAACTTGTTTTTAGTGTTTGTAGATTGAATACAGGCAAAAAAATCGTCTTCTCTGTCGAAAAACGTGGAATGGGGGAACGGGGAATGGGGGAATGGAGGAACGGGCAATGGGGGAATGGAGGAACGGGGAATGGGAGAACGGTGAATGCGGGAACGGGGAATGGGGAACGGAGGGAATGGTGGGGCGAGGAAATAGGGGGCTGGGGAGGTCTGCCCGATTCTATAAACCACAACTTGGTAGTTTGTACAACATCTACTTTTAGGTATTCTACCTAGATAGTTAGATACATGACACAAACCATAGGCTTCACATATTTCACGGCATGGTTTGCTTTCAAAACCCTGTGAGCATGCACATAACCTAACTTCCTCTATACTTAAATACGGTACTAGGTGATAAACTTACAATCCTCACCTAGCCTCAATCACAACATGTGGCTAGGCAAATATACAAACTACACAGTTAACTTATACCGTGACGACATACGACAGTTCCGAGACCGAAATACAGGACAACAGGGCCTTTTTTAAGGATTTTCCCGTAGGGGAAATTTTTTGAAAAGGGATCTTTCTGTCAGATAATATATTAGAGGGGGATAGCAATGGCCGACGGCCACACGACGGCCACGTGTGTGGCCGACATACTCCCCCAGAAAATGTTTTAAATTTGAACCTTTCAAATGCCATTTCCTGCTTTATGAGCATCTAAATTTGCTCTAAAATTTATGCTAATTATACTTGTATTTGAAATAAAAGAAGGAAAAAAATGCAGAAAAAATAAAAGAAATATTAACAATAATTTATCCATTACTTATTATTAAAGGGGGATAGTAATGGCCGTGGGTCATGTGTGTGGCCGACATACCGTGAATGAATAGGGGGTCTGGGGGCATACTTCCGCAGAAAATTTTTGAAATTTGAAGCCCAAAAATGCCATTAGTTCCTGCCGTCTGAGCATCTAAATTTGCTCTAAAATTTATCCTAACTATACTTCTATTTGAAATAAAAGAAGGAAAAAACGCACAAAAAATTTTAAAAATATTAACAATAATTTATCATAAACTTAGTGTTAGAAACACGTAGGATGCGCACGCGGTGACACAGTCCTTTAAATCGATTTTGTTAATAAACAAAGACAAAGGATAAAGCCTAAAACTTACGTTCCGTTTATCAATTTGTTATTCTTCGCTGGTTTGTTTGTATAAATTTAGGAAAAAGGGACTTTTTCTGGGGGGGGGGCAAAATGTGATTTCGTGGGGGGGGGCACAAGGAGGGACTGGGGGGGGGTCAAATGCCCTGCAGGACAAATCCAGTTTTCAAGTGAGCCTCAGAACTTGCATTTTCATTTCCGATCAGCCTGCATCAGAACAAAGTATCCAAGCTTTCTTGGCGACGTTCTCGTTCCTCCAGACTTTCCTTCCCTTTTCAAGGTGGAGCACGTCCAAAGGCTTGCAGGAGAGTTCGGCTGGGTCCTTTAGAAACGTACTTGCCAACTTAAATTGCTAGCTTAAAATCTGCGTATTTTGAAGTATTTTGTGTTTTGTTAGTTTCATACATGTCCAATATCACGATGCGACACGGATCGTGAATATAGTTCACGATCCGTAACACATGGTGAAACAATCACGATGCGCCACGGATCGTGTATATAGTTCACGATCCGTAACACATGGTCAAACAATTACGATGCAACACAGATCGTGAATATACTTCACGATCCGTAACACATGGTAAAAAACCTCAAGCTGTGCATGTTTATCTCCAACAGTGCAACAAACACTAATCATGCAATTGATGCCCACTAAATCCGTACGATCCGTGCACATCGTGCGTATGGTGAAAATAAACAGATATTTTCATTCTTATTACTGTTTTTTATTCTTATTACATTTTCATTTATCATGCAATGTGTTTTGTTATTACAATAGCTCATATATGTTTACTGACATTTTCATATATGTAGTGTGTATGCGTCGTTCTCCAAAAGGCGAAACTAAAAGGAATGAACATATATTTTCATTGTTATTACCTGCATGTATATTATACATTCTAAATAATATATTAGTGCATGTGTATGTAGTGTGTATGCGTCGTTCTCCAAAAGGCGAAACTAAAAGGAATGAACATATATTTTCATTGTTATTACCTCATGTATATTATACATTCTAAATAATATATCAATGCATGTGTATGCCTCGTTCTCCAAAAAAGCACGAATAAACACACATTCTCATTGTTAGCCTATATATAAGCTCCTATATATTAATATTATCAATGTGGCATTGACTAAATTATCAGTGTTATATATTAGCTACCTTATTTGCTTATGTCCATAGTCCTGATTTGTTTGTGGCTAGTGCGGTTTGCCTCGCATGCATTACATTTAAATATTGAAGCTCACTCAAGCGGGATTTTAACTGGTATATATTCACCGACACCGCACTTGTCTAATTACTGGTTGTCTGGTTGGCTTTTTCTCATGTGATATCATCCAACAAAATCACTGGGAATCACTGTTTCTAAGTTAATAAGTTACGACACTAAGTCTAAGAATCACTGTTACGAATTTAAAACACTAAGAATCACTGTTTTAACTTTATAAGTTACGACGCAGTATCTGTCATTTAAAGGCGACAGTTTTATTGGCCCTTTTCATACTATAGACGCATTATGCGTGTCTATGGACTTCGGCAAGCATTTATTATTCGCCTGGTTGAGTGTGTCTTCAATATAAAGACGGACGCAACATGCTAGACGAACTATGTTCAATTTTTCGTCTGAGACCCACACCAGTCATAGCTCGTCTACGGCACGCATAATGTGTCTGGTGCCCGCGTCTTTATAATAACGACACGTAACAAAACTACATATAGATTATTGATCTGATTATTTGTCCCATCTTTATACAACACAAATAGTGTACAGCTACACGTACAATAAGCCCACACGCATAATACGTTCCTCTAGCATAATATATAATTATATAAACACGGCTAATAGTTCACATCTAGTCATTTATTCAACGTTATCTCTAACCTATTCTAATTGTGTTTGGAACATGGTCATTCATGTTTATTCAGGTTATCAAACATATTTTCAAGTTTTTCTACTTTAGCATCATAACATTAACAACTGATGACTGTCGATATTGACTACAATTCTCCATTGCCCATTGGCATTGAGGATTTTCTACAATTCTTGTCAATTGTCTCTCGTCACCATTCAGATATATTTGCTGTGAAACATATCATAATAGAACCAATAATGCATATTTCTTTCCATATTCAGGTTAATTCATTTACTTTGTTCCCAACCCTTTGTCATTTTCCCCCTGCCCCAGTAGGTAGATGTAATAATCCATTTGTATGCAACCAATGGGGGGCAACCGTTTCCTACCAAGAACAATATCAATTTGAATGTCTCTTTATCCGAAAGCGGTTTCTTCCAAAGAATTAAACGCAGTTCTTTTGGCAACTGTCTATGTTGTAAACACGTCTCCATCGAGAAGAGAGACTATTTCCAGTCGTTTAAACCCTTTCATCATGAAATACGAAGCGTCTGCACCGCAGGCTAACTTTCACAACGCGCAAAACGACGTGTAATTAAATGATGATAAAAATCTGTGGTAATTTTCCCAAACTCAAAATAATGTATTTTATTTACAAACATGTAGTTCATAAATAAACAAATAAAATGAAGTGTTATTCACAACGTCAACCCGGTTCAGAATTTTTTCCCACAAATTTATTGCCCTTTACCCGGCCGAAAAACTCACAAAATTTGTGCACTCGCCGGATGCAATTATGCCTAATCCCAATAAAATTAATAGGCAAAGCAGTCATCAATCTGGTTCTGTTCACAGTGGGTATATGAAAATTAGCATGTGGCGTTTAGTTGAATATTTAGAAATAAGTTACTAGTCTTGTGAAATCCCGTGAAATGCAATACAAACATTTTATTATGATATAGAGCAGGTGAACATGCGATATTGACGGTTGGAACTTGCTTACAGAAGCCTGTACTCGTGAGGGTATTCAGTTATATCCTATATAGGTTTTATTTAGTTAGATTCTAATTTCTAAATGAGAATGGCCATGACATGTAGTTGCAACTCGCACAGAAAGGCTTATTAATGAGTTATGAATATTTGCATATATACCAATTCCATAGAACACATGCCATAATAGGATGTGTTTTCATTATAAAAATTTAGGTTCAACTGATTAAGCAAAGATGACTACATCTTCTTAACCTGTCAGCAAAAGATGACTGCATCTTTCTGAACACAAGAGTCTTCGCTAAATTGGTCTTTATAATATAAACACAAATTTGCGCTAGCTTTGGCGTTTGCACACTGATTTTAAAACAAAAAGATTTCGTGTACTGTTTGCGGTCTCTTGATAAATTATAAGGCTTGTTGAATTATAACTATGATAATACAGACCTATATAGCTACCGTATCGGCTGCAACCACAATATCATATAAAATGATTCATGCATAATAGGATGTATGGGTTATTATATTATAAAAATTTAGGTTCAACTGATTAAGGAAAGATGTTGGCGTGCAATATTCGAATTTGGCGCGCGATTTTTGTTTGTATATGACGACCACAATTTGCAATGTGTAATATGAAGTCGAAATATTAAAGAAACTAATTCAGCAGTTAATATTAAAAGAAGTTTTGTTTCAAAGATACTATTACAAATAAGTAGCAAGGTTCGATAATTAATAGATGTCATCAGTTCACCAACTTTGACACAAAACTATGGTTACCAATTAATCCTTTCACACATCGTGCGGTTTCTCATGATCTGAAGCAATCTGTCGACGCTGACCAAAAATAGCGGCTCATTTCTTCTTGAGTTGCCATTTTCGCGTCGAAGAACAAAAATATAGACTTTCGGAGAATATTTTAACTGTTTACGATCAAATATGTTTCTGAAACAGTTGATAATCTCACTGAGGAAGGCCAGCGGTTTCTGAAAAGCTAAAGTACGTCGAAATCAGCTTTGGAATAGACTATATTTTCACCGGGGAAACATGAACTAAATGGATATTTACATCAACACTAGATTTTGCTCGTGCCTACAGAGCTAGTTGCATTAAAACAGATGTTAAGAGATAAGTGAAAATATGAATTTTGTGAACTATACTTTCATTAAAGTGTTTCAGAAGGGCTGCTAATGTCAAACTACACGTGTGACGGAGCTCTCAGGATACCCATATTTCAAATGTTTAATCGCACGATCGCCAAATAATTTTGATCCGAGTTTGATTTATCAGTTTGATATCCATTCTCCACAAACCAAGGAAAAAAAACTTCTACCGGTAATGTATCTTTGTGAGAACGAAAGTTGTATATATAAATAAACATGCCCACTCGGTGCAGTGCAATGGACATTCATCATTTAAGAATACACAAATACAAACAAATATTTATTCTCAACGTGCAGATTGGATAATTCGCTGAATGCTCTCAATATTTATAAAGTTTACCAGAGCAGGTACGATCAAATTAAAATTATGTATTTTAAATTTGTATTCTCTGCCAACAAGTAGTTATCGTAATTACCATCGTCACAGTTAAGTCTCTACTAGGTCAACAAATACTCTGTATAAATTATACGCGAAAGTTAATGTCGCCATAAAAACGCAGATAACAAAACACATGTGTATGTAAATATTTTTGTCTCCACTCATTTTCAACAAAAAGTACTACCAACCGTTTACAATTTTACCTATATTTCACCCTGTGGCACCATGTGTGTGATTCACAGATGGTGAAACAACTTTCACCATCTGTCAACCAATTCACCATGCGCACCACCCCCACGGATCGTCAGTGTTTTGGGGTCTACCCTCTGGCACCATGTGCACCATTCACGGATCGTGAAATCACTTTCACCATCCGTCAACCAATTCACCATGCGCACCATCCGCACGGATCGTCAGTGTTTTGGGGTCTACCCTCTGGCACCATGTGCACCATTCACGGATCGTGAAACCACTTCCACCATCCGTCAACCAATTCACCATGCGCACCATCTGCACGGATCGTCAGTGTTTTGGGGTCTACCCTCTGGCACCATGTGCACCATTCACGGATCGTGAAACCACTTCCACCATCCGTCAACCAATTCACCATGCGCACCATCCGCACGGATCGTCAGTGTTTTGGGGTCTACCCTCTGGCACCATGTGCACCATTCATGGATCGTGAAACCACTGCCACCATCCGTCAACCAATTCACCATGCGCACCATCCGCACGGATAGTCAGTGTTTTGGGGTCTACCCTCTGGCACCATGTGCACCATTCACGGATCGTGAAACCACTTCCACCATCCGTCAACCAATTCACCATGCGCACCATCCGCACGGATCGTCAGTGTTTTGGGGTCTACCCTCTGGCACCATGTGCACCATTCACGGATCGTGAAACCCCTTCCACCATCCGTCAACCAATTCACCATGTGCACCATCTGCACGGATCGTCAGTGTTTTGGGGTCTACCCTCTGGCACCATGTGCACCATTCACCGATCGTGAAACCCCTTCCACCATCCGTCAACCAATTCACCATCTGCACAGATCGTCCATATGGTTTACGGATCGTGAAACCAATTCACCATCAGTGAACCAATTCACCATCTGCACAATGTAGTTACCAAATCCACGATCCGTGTCGTATCGTGGTATTGGACCATACTCCGGATTTGAACCACCGACCTCTTTATACTCTTTATTTATTCCTTTCCCTAACGTAATGTCATAATATTTTGACCAAACCTTATATATTCGGAGATTGCGTAGTCGGCAGGATTTGAACCTGCGCGGGAATATCCCAACAGATTTCGAGTCTGTCGCCTTAACCACTCGGCCACGACTACAAACTGTCAACTGCCATTGATCTGGACGTTTTGGAAAAAAGAACTATTTTTATTCATCATTCAGACCTGGGTGGAAAAATATGAACAGATTTCCTCTGTCGCACTAAACTCTACGCAGGACTACCAAGTGATTATATCTTTTATCATATTTGGGAATCAAAAGGAATCGGCGGACTTGATCGGTCCACCTCTCGATCTGCAGTCGAATGCTCTTCCATTTTTCTATACTCCAGACTTTCTTCTCCACGAATTATTTAATACCAAATTATTTACATTTGCTACTCTTGTTAATATTCATCTCGCAAAACTGTGCCTTTTTTTATTCCTGCACCTAACGTAAATAAAATTTTGACCTTGTCTGTCTTCGTAGATTACGTAGTCGGCAGAATTTGAACCAGGGCTGGATAATCCCAACAGATTTCTAGTCTGTCGCCTTAACCACTCGGCCACGACTACAACCTGCGGATTCCGTTTGATGTGGACGTTTTCCTAAAAAGAACAATTTTTATTTGTTAGAACGTACACTACTATCTATTCGAAATCTATGGTTGGCCCAGTTAAATTAAAGAAAGAAATTACTGTTTGAGAATTCTGCTTTATTTGTAAAAAGTGCCATTACTCTGACCTATAGGTGGAAAAATCTCGACAAATTTCCACTGTCGCCCTAACCTTTACCGACGACTACATATTGATTATCAGATCTAATCGTGCTCTTTCCAGAGACCATGCTATGTTAATTTTTTATCATACTTGGGATTAAAAAGGAGCGGGCGGATTTGAACCACCGACCTCTTGATCTGCAGTCGAATGCTCTGCCACTGAGCTACACTCCCGACTATCTTCTCCAAGAATTATGTAATACACAAATTCTTTTGACCTACTACTCATCTTATTAATATTCGTCTAGCAAAATTGTTCTTTTCATTATTGCTTTCCCTAACGGAATGTCATAATATTTTGACCAAACTTTATATATTCGGAGATTGCGTAGCCGGCAGGATTTGAACCTGCGCGGGAATATCCCAACAGATTTCAAGTCTGTCGCCTTAACCACTCGGCCACGACTACAAACTGCGGATTCCGTTCGATGCGGACGTTTTCCTGAAAACAACTATTTTATTTGTTAGAACGTACACCACTATCTATTGGAAATCTATGGATGGCGCAGTTAAATTAAATAAAGAAATTACTGTTTGAGAATTTTACTTTATTTGTAAAAAGTCCCATTACTCAGACCTATAGGTGGAAAAATCTGGACAAATTGCCACTGTCGCACTAACCCTTACCCACGACTACATAGTGATTATCAGATTTAATCGTGCTCTTTCCGGAGACCGTGCTCTGTTAATTTTTTATCATACTTGGGAGTAAAAAGGAGCGTGCGGATTTCAACCACCGACCTCTCGATCTGCAGTCGAATGCTCTGCCACTGAGCTTCGCTCCCGACTTTCTTCTCCAGGAATTATGTAATAAACAAATTCTTTTGACCTCGTACTCCTCTTATTAATATTCATCTTGCAAAATTGTTCTTTTATTTATTCCTTTCCCTAACGTAATGTCATAATATTTTGACCAAACCTTATATATTCCGAGATTGCGTATTCGGCAGGATTTGAACCTGCGCGGAAATATCCCAACAGATTTCAAGTCTGTCGCCTTAACCACTCGGCCACGACTACAAACTGTCGACTGCAATTGATCTGGACGTTTTGGAAAAAGAACTATTTTTATTTCATTCAGGCCTGGGTGGAAAAATCTCAACAGATTTCCACTGTCCCGCTAAACTCTCACCACGACTACCAAGTTATTATATCTTTAATCATCTTTGGGAATCAAAAGGAGTCGGCGGATTTGATCGGTCCACCTCTCGATCTGCAGTCGAATGCCCTGCCATTGGGCTATACTTCCGACTTTCTTCTCCGCGAATTATTTAATACTCAAAATATTTACGTTTGCTACTCTTGTTAATATTCATCTCGCAAAACTGCGCCTTTTTTTATTCCTGCGCCTAACGTAATTAAAATTTTGACCTTGTCTATCTTCGTAAATTACGTAGTCGGCAGGATTTGAACCTGCGCGGGAAAATTCTAGTCTGTCGCCTTAACCACTCGGCCACGACTACAAACTGCGGATTCCGTTCGATGCGGACGTTTTCCTGAAAACAACTATTTTATTTGTTAGAACGTACACCACTATCTATTGGAAATCTATGGATGGCGCAGTTAAATTAAATAAAGAAATTACTGTTTGAGAATTGTACTTTATTTGTAAAAAGTCCCATTACTCAGACCTATAGGTGGAAAAATCTGGACAAATTGCCACTGTCGCACTAACCCTTACCCACGACTACATAGTGATTATCAGATCTAATCGTGCTCTTTCCGGAGACCATGCTATGTTAATTTTTTATCATAGTTGGGATTAAAAAGGAGCGGGCGGATTTGAACCACCGACCTCTCGATCTGCAGTCGAATGCTCTGCCACTGAGCTACACTCCCGACTATCTTCTGCAGGAATTATGTAATACACAAATTCTTTTGACCTACTACTCATCTTATTAATATTGGTCTAGCAAAATTGTTCATTTCTTTATTGCTTTCCCTAACGGAATGTCATAATATTTTGACCAAACTTTATATATTCGGAGATTACGTAGTCGGCAGGATTTGAACCTGCGCGGGAAAATCCCAACAGATTTCTAGTCTGTCGCCTTAACCACTCGGCCACGACTACAACTGCGGATTCCGTTCGATGCGAACGTTTTCCTGAAAACAACTATTTTATTTGTTAGAACGTACACCACTATCTATTGGAAATCTATGGATGGCGCAGTTAAATTAAACAAAGAAATTACTGTTTGAGATTTGTACATTATTTGTAAAAAGTCCCATTACTCAGACCTATAGGTGGAAAAATCTGGACAAATTTCCACTGTCGCACTAACCTTTACCCACGACTACATAGTGATTATCAGATCTAATCGTGCTCTTTCCGGAGACCATGCTATGTTAATTTTTTATCATAGTTGGGATTAAAAAGGAGCGGGCGGATTTGAACCATCGACCTCTCGATCTGCAGTCGAATGCTCTGCCACTGAGCTACACTCCCGACTATCTTCTGCAGGAATTATGTAATACACAAATTCTTTTGACCTACTACTCATCTTATTAATATTCGTCAAGCAAAATTGTTCATTTCTTTATTGCTTTCTCTAACGGAATGTCATAATATTTTGACCAAACTTTATATATTCGGAGATTGCGTAGTCGGCAGGATTTGAACCTGCGCGGGAATATCCCAACAGATTTCAAGTCTGTCGCCTTAACCACTCGGCCACGACTACAAACTGTCCACTGCCATTGATCTGGATGTTTTGGAAAAAGAACTATTTTTATTTCATTCAGACCTGGGTGGTAAAATCTCAACAGATTTCCATTGTCCCACTAAACTCTAACCACGACTACCAAGTTATTATAACTTTTATCATATTTGGGAATCAAAAGGAGTCGGCGGATTTGATCGGTCCACCTCTCCATCTGCAGTCGAATGCACTGCGAATGAGCTATACTCCCCACTTTCTTGTCCACGAATTATTTAATACTCAAAATATTTACATTTGCTACTCTTGTTAATATTCATCTCGCAAAACTGTTCCTTTTTTTATTCCTGCACCTAACGGAATTAAAATTTTGACCTTGTCTATCTTCGTAGATTACGTAGTCGGCAGGATTTGAACCTGCGCGGGAAAATCCCAACAGATTTCTAGTCTGTCGCCTTAACCACTCGGCCACGACTACAACTGCGGATTCCGTTCGATGCGGACGTTTTCCTGGAAACAACTATTTTATTTGTTAGAACGTACACCACTATCTATTGGAAATCTATGGATGGCGCAGTTAAATTAAAGAAAGAAATTACTGTTTGAGATTTGTACTTTATTTGTAAAAAGTCCCATTACTCAGACATATAGGTGGAAAAATCTGGACAAATTTCCACTGTCACACTAACCTTTATCCACGACTACGTAGTGATTATCAGATCTAATCGTGCTCTTTCCGGAGACCATGCTATGTTAATTTTTTATCATACTTGGGATTAAAAAGGAGCGGGCGGATTTGAACCACCGACCTCTCGATCTGCAGTCGAATGCTCTGCCACTGAGCTACACTCCCGACTTTCTTCTCCAGGAATTATGTAATACACAAATTCTTTTGACCTACTACTCATCTTATTAATATTCGTCTAGCAAAATTGTTCTTTTCTTTATTCGTTTCCCTAATGTAATGTCATAATATTTTGACCAAACCTTACATATTCGGAGATTGCGTAGTCGGCAGGATTTGAACCTGCGCGGGAATATCCCAACAGATTTCAAGTCTGTCGCCTTAACCACTCGGCCACGGCTACAAACTGTCAACTCCCATTGATCTGGACGTTTTGGAAAAAAGAACTATTTTTCTTCATTATTCAGACCTGGGTGGAAAAATCGCAACAGATTTCCTCTGTCTCACTAAACTCTACGCAGGACTAACAAGTGATTATATCTTTTATCATATTTGGGAATCAAAAGGAAACGGCGGATTTGATCGGTCCACCTCTTGATCTGCAGTCGAATGCTCTTCCATTTTTCTATACTCCCGACTTTCTTCTCCACGAATTATCTAATACCAAATTATTTACATTTTCTACGGTTTTTGTTAATATTCATCTCGCAACATTGTGCTTTTCTTTATTCCTTCACATAACGTAATAAAAATTTTGACCCTGTCTATCTTCGTAGATTACGTAGTCGGCAGAATTTGAACCTGCGCTGGATAATCCCAACAGATTTCTAGTCTGTCGCCTTAACCACACGGCCACGACTACAAACTGCGGATTCCGTTTGATGTGGACGTATTCCTAAAAAGAACTATTTTTATTTGTTAGAACGTACACTACTATCTATTCGAAATCTATGGTTGGCGCAGTTAAATTAAAGAAAGAAATTACTGTTTGAGAATTCTGCTTTATTTGTAAAAAGTCCCATTACTCTGACCTATAGGTGGAAAAATCTCGACAAATTTCCACTGTCGCCCTAACCTTTACCGACGACTACATATTGATTATCAGATCTAATCGTGCTCTTTCCACAGACCATGCTATGTTAATTTTTTTATCATACTTGGGATTAAAAAGGAGCGGGCGGATTTGAACCACCGACCTCTCGATCCGCAGTCGAATGCTCTGCCACTGAGCTACACTCCCGACTATCTTCTGCAGGAATTATGTAATACACAAATTCTTTTGACCTACTACTCATCTTATTAATATTCGTCTAGCAGAATTGTTCATTTCTTTATTGCTTTCCCTAACGGAATGTCATAATATTTTGACCAAACTTTATATATTCGGAGATTGCGTAGTCGGCAGGATTTGAACCTGCGCGGGAATATCCCAACAGATTTCAAGTCTGTCGCCTTAACCACTCGGCCACGACTACAAACTGTCCACTGCCATTGATCTGGACGTTTTGGAAAAAGAACTATTTTTATTTCATTCAGACCTGGGTGGAAAAATCTCAACAGATTTCCACTGTCCCACTAAACTCTAACCACGACTACCAAGTTGTTATAACTTTTATCATATTTGGGAATCAAAAGGAGTCGGCGGATTTGGTCGGTCCACCTCTCCATCTGCAGTCGAATGCACTGCGATTGAGCTATACTCCCGACTTTCTTGTCCACGAATTATTTAATACTCAAAATATTTACATTTGCTACTCTTGTTAATATTCATCTCGCAAAACTGTTCCTTTTTTTATTCCTGCACCTAACGGAATTAAAATTTTGACCTTGTCTATCTTCGTAGATTACGTAGTCGGCAGGATTTGAACCTGCGCGGGAAAATCCCAACAGATTTCTAGTCTGTCGCCTTAACCACTCGGCCACGACTACAACTGCGGATTCCGTTCGATGCGGACGTTTTCCTGAAAACAACTATTTTATTTGTTAGAACGTACACCACTATCTATTGGAAATCTATGGATGGCGCAGTTAAATTAAAGAAAGAAATTACTGTTTGAGATTTGTACATTATTTGTAAAAAGTCCCATTACTCAGACCTATAGGTGGAAAAATCTGGACAAATTTCCACTGTCGCACTAACCTTTACCCACGACTACATAGTGATTATCAGATCTAATCGTGCTCTTTCCGGAGACCATGCTATGTTAATTTTTTATCATAGTTGGGATTAAAAAGGAGCGGGCGGATTTGAACCACCGACCTCTCGATCTGCAGTCGAATGCTCTGCCACTGAGCTACACTCCCGACTATCTTCTCCAGGAATTATGTAATACACAAATTCTTTTGACCTACTACTCATCTTATTAATATTCGTCAAGCAAAATTGTTCATTTCTTTATTGCTTTCCCTAACGGAATGTCATAATATTTTGACCAAACTTTATATATTCGGAGATTGCGTAGTCGGCAGGATTTGAAACTGCGCGGGAATATCCCAACAGATTTCAAGTCTGTCGCCTTAACCACTCGGCCACGACTACAAACTGTCCACTGCCATTGATCTGGACGTTTTGGAAAAAGAACTATTTTTATTTCATTCAGACCTGGGTGGAAAAATCTCAACAGATTTCCACTGTCCCACTAAACTCTAACCACGACTACCAAGTTATTATAACTTTTATCATATTTGGGAATCAAAAGGAGTCGGCGGATTTGATCGGTCCTCCTCTCCATCTGCAGTCGAATGCACTGCGATTGAGCTATACTCCGACTTTCTTGTCCACGAATTATTTAATACTCAAAATATTTACATTTGCTACTCTTGTTAATATTCATCTCGCAAAACTGTGCCTTTTTTTATTCCTGCACCTAACGTAATTAAAATTTTGACCTTGCCTATCTTCGTAGATTACGTAGTCGGCAGGATTTGAACCTGCGCGGGAAAATCCCAACAGATTTCTAGTCTGTCGCCTTAACCACTCGGCCACGACTACAACTGCGGATTCCGTTCGATGCGGACGTATTCCTAAAAAGAACTATTTTTATTTGTTAGAACGTACACTACTATCTATTGGAAATCTATGGTTAGCGCAGTTAAATTAAAGAAAGAAATTACTGTT